AAAAAAAAAAAAGACTTGAATTTTAGCAATACATTACCGACCACCAATAAACGGATATTAGGTCACGATAAAATTCTCAGTTTGAAGCAATCAAACAACTGTGACAGGACTGGTAAAAAGAGAACGACATCTAGTATATGCACCGTGAAGAAAAGTTGACAAAATTGTTAGTTTTTATAGAAATACTTCCTGAAGCAAGCCAAATGTCAGCTTTAAAGAACAGCTGACAGTGCCAAATTCATAAGTTTTGAAAAAGAAACAACTCGGCATTTTTAATGAAGCATTTCATACGTTAAGACTTTATATTAAAAAGGTACCCTTAAACTCAAAGAGTGAATTTAGAAATTTAGAAAAGGCAGAATTAGAAACACTTTTATTGCGAAACTACAGTGCAAAACTTTCGAAATACTGAAGAACCTAACCGGTTTAGTAAGAAGTGAAGAAAACTACAAAAACTTAACAGAAAGTCCATTGTCAGTCCTCATAAGACTAAGTAAAAATATAGCTATTTTCATTTATTGTACTTGAAAAGAAACACAACCTGCGCAGTATCAAAATTGTTATCATCCTTGTACAGTTTTGAACCACTGGCTTTTACAGCAAACCCCCTGAAAAGCTTCAGTATATGATAAATGAATCACTGGAAGCTACACCGAACTATTAGGAAATCGTTTGCTTAACGAGGTCAAATGTAACTAAGTCCAAAAACAACCTTTTGCAAAACATTTCAGAAACACTTTCCCCTTCGATTGAAGACAATTCGACTTCAAACATTTCATTAGGCAATCGCACCAAGAAGCGGACGTTTAATTTATCTGCTGCTGTAAGCTCAGAAAAATACGACCTGGCTTCGTAAGAGAAAGACTGCTAAACAAAAAAGAACCAAAAAATCAAGATGAAACAAATTACGCTTCAACTTCTGTGAAAAATGTTCTAATTAAAAACACATCATAAGCGTTCTCCACAAAGATTCAATCTCAAAATCTGCTTCGTCATACCCTTTCTTTTTGACTAATCACTTCAAAAATTTCGATTTGACTCTTTATAAAAAAACCACTGAATTCCACTTCATCCTGGAAATACTAAATGTAAGAAGATTCTTTGTAGATCTAGCTTTTTCCGCATAAGCACATAAAAACCACAACAAATATTTCAATCCTTGGTTACAGATGCACATTTAAGATAGAGCAACGACGGCCCAAAGAGGAATGAAAAGCTACTTCATTGCCTTTCGGCAATACATTGGATAATTTGCAGTGGAAGGCGTAACGTGGATGAGAACGGAATATATCAGGAATCTTTTCGTTTATCTGATACACCTTCTTATCACCAAGTTCGTGAATATTGCCGTAGTCGACAAAACGAATAACCTGCCTGGAATAAAAAGGAAAAATCAAAAATTAATAAAGCTCAGGAGAAGCCGCCGTTACCAAAAAAGTTACTTACTTATCATCTTCTGGCTTGCTTATAAATTCTGCTCTATAATAAGTTTCGTCCTCTGGATAAAATGCAAGACACGGGCGGAATAGGCCGTAAATATCTAGTGGATCCACATCTTCTGGAAGTTCACATAAATTAAGTTTTACCACAAACTCTTGGTCACGTAACAACTGTACGTAGAACGAGTATGGATCTGCTGCATCCTGAAATTTATATGTAACAGAAAATTTGTTAAACTAGTCAGATTAAAAAATAGTTCAAACTCCAAAAAACTAGTTTTAAATCCAACTGAATAGTCGCTCCTAAAGCCTAGCACTTCGTCGCCAAACTTGATATCACCCAACTGAGCAGCAGCGATTTTTGAGAAGGTTAGGTCAGTTCCACGCTGAAAATAGTGGTTCTAAATCTGACGAAAACAGAAAAAAATGTTTCATGAAGGAAACAACAAGACGAATGTGCTAAGCTCAAAATAATACATGTTAAGGATCAAAGTCAAATCTAAAATTAATCACATTTTCCCACCGAAAGCAACTAACCGATATCTCGCCTTGAAAATCATCTAACCCCTGACCAGAAGTGATGGCAGTAGGTACCTCACCAACCCTTATTAAAACATCAGTGGTGTCAAGATGAGGTAAACTTTCACTAGCTTGGAAATCGCTAGAATCCTAAAAACATCGAAGAGATCTGACCCAATGTCAAGCCCTTGCTATTCTCAATAGAAAAACAAAATATAAATAAAGTTACAGCAACTGTTCTTCTTACTGACTTTAGCTGACCGAGACTTTGATGAAAAGCCGGAATATTTTCTTTTGACAGTTGTCTAAAATGAATAAACAGTGAAACGCGGACAATTTCCACTTGAAAAAGACATAAAGAAACGGTAGTAAGCAACCACAAAACAATAAAACACCAAAAAACTGTCAAAACTGGGTTTTAAAGTAATTCTTCCTCGCAATAACCTACCGGATCCAATCTGTTCGCACTATTTCTTTCTTCCCTCTCTGAAAAACGACAACAGCATGAAATGTAATTTTAATAAATTCGCGCGCAGTTACTAACCCTGGCATGAAATTTCAAGCCGTATAAGAACATTACTATTAACACCTAAATAACAAAAACTCTTTTCGAACTCAATGCCCAGCAAACGAATTTTATCGCATTCTGTTCATTTGCCAAGTTGTAAATTGTAAAACAAAGATGGAATACAGTCGTTACCAGTATCAGTAAACCTTGATCTCGAAAACCCTCCATTACGCCGTCCTTCATAAGTGGAAAATGCTCTCGACTCTTCCTTATGATGAGCGCGGCTTTTAAAACCATCGCGAGAATCACGGCCAAACTCCTGACTGTTCCAAGAACCTTAATCAGATGTAAGTAGAAAACTTATTTATATTACTGAAACGGCGGCGAACAAAGAACAACAACAATCATATCAGTCTTAAAAACTCAAAAGTCTTTTTCCTTGCCACCGATTATTTTCTGTCAAGTACTCATACAAATCCTTTTCTATCTCGTCAATTGAATATGAATCTATAAAGAATTACGATGCTTAACGAATGTTCATACCAAAAAAATGGTATAGCTTAATTGAGGGAGCCAAATAGTGTAGACTGTTGCGACCCCACAATATTTTACTATGAAACAACTATTTGAAAAAACACATTTGATCCCTACAAAAGTAAAAAGAAAAGACCGTCTGATCACAGACACAGGTGTAAAATAAATATACTTCAACAAACACAACAAATTAAAAAAACGTAAATTAGCCCACTTCTGTTGTTATTGATTGCCCTTTCCCTAAAAGTTCGATTCCCAGAAGATGAACTGTTAATTGCTGCAGGTTGTCCAAATTTGAAGCGATCAGTCAAAACTTCAGAGTTATGTACAGAATTTCTTTGACTGGACTTTCGTGACTCGTCTTGGCAAAACTCGGAATTTTTTGCAGGGTGAAATCCAGATAGACTATTGCCTAAACACAATTTTCTTGAGAAAAAATAGAGAAGTAGCAAGTTTTTAATGCTCTCAAATTACCGATCATTCGGATAGTACCAAAAAAAGACCAAATTGGTAAAAAAGAACATTTCTAGTTCTGCTTGGAAGGATTTCCTAATGCTACTCTTATCCCAAAAACTCAAAGGAAAACTAACCACGACTGTTAATGTTCACAACTTCGCTATCAATCTTCCTCCCTGGAAACGTTTCGTCTAAAACTAAAAAACAAACGTAGAGAATTTTTTTCCAGGTATCTTTGAAGTACTTTTAATGATCTTTCGAAATTGAATTCCACATATATACATACTTCAACAGAAATATTTTTTCAATCATGAAAGCCAAATTCTTTGACATAACATTTAACTGAATACTGTTCAACTGCATCTCATAACATGCTTGAATCTAACCAGGCGGTGAAAGGCAAGGACAATCTGCTACACCAATCAAGATTTTTGACAGATCAAGTTTCTTTCCTCTCTCCCACAAAAACGCCCTCACCGAAAACGCATCTTGCTGCTCAACGACAGACACTGAATAACGTTGACCTGACTAGTCTCATCAAAACTTTAGTTAGAAAGCTCGAAAAAAGCGAAATTTAAATTTCTACTAGAAAAAGGAAGTTGTACTCACAAAGCTGAACGTGTATCTGTCTATCTTGAAGCAAGTCAATCATCTCTTTGTCACTCAGAGAAGTCTTTTCTGCTCCCTTGATAATTAATCGAACCGCCTGTGGAGCAACGTTTAATAAGAACTCGTCGGCTGGCAATATATCCTCTTCATCCACAAACTCCGTGTTTCCATAATCAATAAAGAAAACCTGAAATTAAAGAGAAAAACATCAAGGACACTAAAAACAGCATGCTGCGATAGAAAAAAAAACAACTTCTAAGACTCCTTGTTCCAATACTGGTTTAAAATCCCAACCTTCACTCTACCAATATCTCTTTTTGATATGACACAAGCACGATAAAAACACTGGTCAACTTTGAACCTAAATTACGAGAAAATAATATACGGTGTGTATTGAGAAGACAACGTCAATAATGTATAAACTTCGAAAAACAAAAATACTCTTCTCAAATGCCATTTACCCAAACGACTAAAATAAAATGGTTCTAAGAACCTTTTCAAGAGGAAAGAAAACAAAAATTTACGAGCAACAAGATAACCAAGTAGGTGTTCATTAGGGCTAGTGAAGAAATGTAACAAACTCATTCTTTACAGAAAAAAAAACCACAAAAAGAAAAACAGTTCTTGTACACTCTTACTTGGCTATGACGATGCTACCAGCTGCTGGATTCAAAACTGGTTTTCTTTTTTCCAACAATGTTTTTATTCTTCGAGAAATCGTCATAATTAGTTCAGCACAATTTTCTAACTGCACAAATAGAAGACCGTTTCCTAAAAAGTGCTTGAAGGAAAGTACAACGAGCCGAATCAACAAAACATGTAGCCATTACTGCAAGTGATCGTTGATTGGGACTTTAAGTATCCAGTAAAACAACCATAGAACATATTCTTATACTTCACTGAAAATTAACTTACTACACACAAGAGAAACACGAACTGTCAAATACTCTTCCTTTTCCGCCGGAATGAGCAAAGGTTGTAAGTTTGGCACTTGTACTCTTGTATTTCGTGCCTTCCGCTCAGGTTTAATAGGTAAATTGTCAAAGTCAACATCCAATGAGCAACCTTCTAAATAAACATTTATCTACAGCTAAGCTTAGAAATGCCCATTTATTTTGGAGGTATAGAGTAGCGATTTCCAGATTTGTTGAATAATCTAACTTACTTAGCAAGACTCGATAGTAAAAGCCATATTGTCCAGAACTTGAAGTACTTGATGGTGCTCTATTCCCTTCATTTTCATACCGAGTAAGTGGTGTGCGATTTTGATAACTTCCTGACAATGGATTCAGTATTCGAGACATCTTAAAACAATTAATATTTCCACCATTAGCAAGATTTACCAAACTGGATCCAAATGTAAACAGCAGACCATAAAGCGCTGAAATTGTGGGTTAAAATTCACAACCATTAACTCACTACCAAAACTCTATCAAACGCAAGGAAAAGAGAAGGATGGCATCGCGCAAAATAAACAACTGCCTCAAAAATGTGGAATAAGTACGTTCTGTCTCCAAGAAAAATAATTTCAGGCCTACAAGCCTCAAAACTGCTTCCAGAAAAATAACTTTTGTGAAAGTTTACCACTAACTGTAAATGAAATAATGTTTGTCTGACTGTAAATTTCTGTATTCCAAAAAAATAAATTTTTATTTAAAATAATTAACGATCTCTGACTGTGCGGCATCTATTACTGAAAAAACCACCCTAAAGTGAGCATCAAAATTTAGAAAAAATCTCCCCAGTTTTAACAATGGTAACCCATCTGCAGCTTTCCTTCTCAAAAAGTAAAATCAGTAGTGGATACAATAATTACATATTTAGATCGCATATCAGATTTTTATCTCGAGGAAACAAACGAAAATGTCCATTAATCACTATCAATCTCGTGCTACACCATTATTAACAACTACATCCGAAAATTAAAAAAAATCAACCTCTAAGGCACAATCTGTGAAAATTGAGAAGTTACAAACTGTTCAGTCGTTTGAAAGAAGATCAGCAAACAAATTATATCCACATCTTAAACTTGTGTTACCTTGCTAGCTTACACTACAGGTGTTGTTAAAAACCACATTTTCACGACACAAAAAACAAGGAATTCTGTTACCTTAATAAAGAATTGCAGCACGCTGTTTGACCGTCTATCCAAAGAGTGTAAAAAAAAAAAGTTATGATTTCTGACCTTTCTGACAACTGCATCTTGCCTGTCTGAATAAAACTGGTAATCTATGCTAATGACGCATCTAAAAACTGATCCGCAATCCTACATTATGATGAAACAACTCGAAGTAGTGCTGCAAACTTTCCCCTGCCTTACATTACTCCGATAGTGAAATCAGTAACGAGAAAAAAAGTATAACCTCAAAATAATACGAAATAATCTGCAAATAAACTTTAACACAGTAAAATAAACTCAAAATTAAAAAGCAAATGAATAAGCACAACAACCCTTAAGAACTTCTAGTTGGGAACCTGAAGGTGCTAAAAAGACACGGCTTATTAACTATAAAAGAAAGTTGAAAGTAAGCCAGGATCTAGTACGAACCGTATCTGAACTCAGGTCGTAGGAGGACTGCCAATAGCGGATCTATGAGCCACCGTTGACTAGCGCCTCCTTACTTGACCTTCTTACCGTTTCCCGAACGACGACTTAAGAACAGACAGGAGACCAGGTCATTAGAATGTGACTAATGTTTTCATGCGCCTTCGCTACAGTGATACCCACAGCTGACTAACAAGAGAACTTTCTAAGTAAGCTATGAGAGTAACTCTACATGGGAAGGAAAAAAGCGTCTGCTCAAAAAACATGGTTAAAATGCTCAAGACTCAGCGGAAACCTATATACCACACACAAGCCCCTCCTTTAGCTTTTAAATGAATTGTCGCTGTCTACAGCGAAAAATATCAAGAATTACAACCACCGCTTAATGCCTCAAAGTCCACTGGGTTTTAAAAGAACGTGAATTTTCGAAAGGTTACGCCTTCAAGCAAAAACAGAAGGGGTAATACCGTATGAAGAGGCAAAGCGAGAAATCAAACTTCAAAATTGCTAATTTTTAGCCGCTCTCTACAGTTTGAGGACGAAGAGACACCAATGGAGCGTCATTTAGATGGATATATGCAATTCCTCAGGAGTTAGACACAGTTTCAGAATACTGTTTTAAAAATCCAACTTTTCATTCCAGCAAGAAACTGCATTATCTTAATTGCTTTCAGGACTTCCGAAATTACTAGAAGCAACACGTGTCTATTTCACATTAGGCGTTTTTTATTTTGAACAGCCCAAGAAAGACTAGAGATAAGGAAACAAGCACCTAAATGCCATTTTTTCTGGTGACGTAGATAAAAAGGAGCAGAGTAGGTTGTCCACAAAACATTAAATTAGCAACACCGGAAACCTATGAGTGTTCACTCTAATATCCGCGATAGTATTTCTTTGAAAAAAAGAAACACTCATTTCTACGACCATGTGTTAGCCACCTTTCAGAGCCTAAAGTTCCGATACCTATTTAATGGCTATATCACTATAAGAATTAGTCTAATCAACAGCAAGGTATAAAGCGAGTTCGACTTCCTTAACAACAAATTATAAAGGAAGCTTTTTCAGTCACAAAAAAGTAAGTACCAAAATATCTTGTAAAGAAGGGCTGTCGAGGAATGAAATGTCCAGCTCTCACTACGATCACAGCGCCTGCAGATCCACCTAGCCCAGTCGCCACTCAGGCAGTGTTTTATTAAACCGTCATGAACGAGGAGAAAAAAACTGCTTAACCTAAAATTTCTTAGTTTTTTGAAAATGTTTGCCAGTTGAACTACTTCTGGACCTACCTAATTGCTAAAAAAAATCCAATTTAGAGACGAAAATGATATTAGTGGCGAAAACTGACTTAATCACAAATTTTGGAATCATTTCTTGTAAGAAGCATTGAGGTGTTGGCACTGTTTTAGCATCATACTCCCTCCAGCGCAACGAGGAGCAGCCTGCAGATGAACTGAGCCTAAAGTTCTACAGTTACAAAGTGCCCACACAGCCTCCTACATCACCTGCTCACACTAAGACTTACCATCTGAAGCGGCGGAAGGACTAGAGCGACATTTCATTGTTAGGCTGCCTGAAAGTTAGGAGAAGCTATATGGACAAACATGAAACTGCAAGAGATAAATTAAGAACTATCGAGTTTCTACGGTTGCGCAGATTATGGCTTTCTTTCACTGTAATTTATAAAGAAACCTTCATAATCCTAAATTCAGTTCATGAATTTTTATGCCAGAACACCTGACAATAAGGTTTGCAGCAATTTTTCTCATTAGTCAAACGTGAGCCACTTCCTCATAATTGCCTAGCATGTCAAACTTCAAAAACACGTGAAAAGTTAAAAAGTCATTTAATCTGTGCATTACGTAAGGCAGATATTTTTATCAACAGATGATACGCTCTACCGTCACTGATTAAGCACTGGCAACGTTCACATGAACCGCTCTACCAGCTATTATAAAATTTTTAGCGAAAGATATACTTCTGGTGTATGGCATGACTCGTTGAAGGAATGACCAACGGTTTGAGAAATCAAACGAACATTCCAGGTCTTATTCCTTTCTTATTCCAGGTCCTTTAGTTCAAAGCCACGAGGTTTACTTTTGAATGTTCTGATACAAAAGGCAAAGGCGCAAAGACCAAAAGACGGGAGAGGACATTGTGGTTTCTTGCAGTTTTCTATCGTAATCCCACGACTAGAAGTGGACGTCATTTTGGAATAAGCAAAGGCATCGGAAAGATACTGTAGCTGTTTTAGCTGGATTTCCTTTGGTCCTTCTCATTGCTTATTCTGGGCAGAATTAAAGGTAATAACACTGTACAAACTGCCGTCAAGTAAGGCGAAGGCAATAAATTTTTGTAAAGATAATGGGGGTGCTTTGAAAGGCTATGAAATTTAAAAGGACGTCACAGTGTTAAATTCAGCAGTGACAGTGTCGCGATATTACGGAAACCCCTCATAAAGAGACGGAATAGTTTCACTGCCAGTTGATCTCATATATGACTTAAAGCTAAAAGAATCCTTTTGACTCTTTTTCAGTATGTTATAAATTTTTTGCTATCTTGCGGTTTATTTAAAATCACAAATCGTCCATTCAACTTTTCCGGCGTAAATGACGACAAATTCCTGGCCCAATTCTAACTCCAGCTTCCTTTAGTGGCGTGGGTACAGTTGAAGGATACGCAACTTTTCACCCCGCCGATGTTCAGAGAACGAAAGATTTGGTTATCTGTAGAGATCTAATAAAAGCACAAACGGCTCTCTCGTAAACCAGAAATGGGTAATATAGAAGAATAATAGATATACCAATAAGGAAAGTCAGCCGGGACATGATAAGTGGTAATCATAGAAACAACGTCTGCCAATTTGATATGGTCAGCCTAGCTAACTTATGAAAAACATCAATATCAAAACGTCTTGCATACCAGTCAGAACACAGAACACCTTTAATGGAAGTAAAAACCACAAACCGAGATTAAAAAACAGTATTTACTCAGAAACAGCTGGTTTAAAAAGTAAAAAACTAACACTAGTAGCTGGGCAGTTTTACGAGTAAACCGTGACGACGAGAACACTTGACTTTTTTATGGTCCAAAACTGTTACAAAAACCATTGTATTTCATATAAGCTAGGTAATGAACTTTATGTGAAAATGTGCGTCATCTATTGTTAAGTACTTCCTGTCAATCACGCAAAAATTACTGAATCTACACTTTCTTGGGTTTAAATTAACAATTGGTAGGGTCAGGAGAAAGAAGTTAACCCTCATTCGCAAGTACATTAAGAACCACAATCCCGTAAAGCTAGGATGGCGCTATAAGTTTCAGTGGCTATCGATTGTTTGCAGTGAAGAAGTATCCAGAATCAAGACACCCATGCTGGACTAATAGAAGAGTGTATCATGAACACTCCCGATTGAAAAAGGTTGTTGCACGGCGGCAGCAACTATAGAGGAAGTGAGTAGCATACGTTTCCCCGGGTAAGAGAATAGTTCATCAGTTGCAACATTTCCTTCTTTTTGGTCCAGCAATTCTGGCGGAAGATGCGCGGCTTAAAGATATATTTCTGGCAACAACGAATTTCTTATCGAAACTTTGGAGTTCTAAGCTTCAAAAGGAATTAAGATAGGAGTAAGTAATGCCTGGATGTTGAACGGTAAAAAGTTTCAGAACTTACAAGGACAACTACTGGAGATGAAGTAAGGCTTATGATTTGAGAATAGACTGTCTTGGAGTTGAAATTCAGCGATCTAAAACTCATATTTG